TAATATAATATAATATAATATAATATAAATATAATATAATATAATATAATCTATCTATACATATAGAATGTATAATGCGCATAAGAAATATGTGCATAATAGATGTGTATAAATAGGAAGATAAATATAAATACAATTATAAACAAATAAATAAATATATAAAGATATAAAGATATAAATAAATATATAAAGATATATATATATATATATATATATATTTGTTTATATTTGAGTATTTATATTTATTTGTTGTATATCTCCATCGCTGTATATATCTGTCTTTGATAAATGAATCTAGATGTATATCTATTTATATGCATAGACATATATATAAATATAAATATAAATATAAATATTATATATATATATTATATATAGGAGGTGGCGTCTGTGCTGCATAGAAAGGAGACAGACTGTCTCCTTTTCGTAGTTTTGCTGCGTGTTGTTTTGTATAGCAGCTAATAATGTGTCCTTCTGCCTCTGCTGCTGCTGCTGCTGCTGCTGCTGTTGCGTGTCTGTTTCTCAGAAGCAACGAAGCAGGGTGCTGCTAAGCAGCATTTCTCTGAGTAGGAGACATTTTAGACTACCCAAGTGTATGAATGTATGTACAGCAGGTGTATGTACAGCTAAGAAAGGCAAAGAAGAAGGAGACAGCTGGCTTTGTTTAATTGATATTAAGGCTTATACATTATTTATTCTTCTTAGTAGCTGAGGGCACCTTTAAAAGCGCTTATCATAAATACTACGTGTGCATGCGGTTACAGCAGCAGCAGCAGCTGCAGCTGCAGCTGCTGCTGCTGCTGCTGCTGCTGCTGCTTTAGCAGCTGGTGATTAGGCTGCTGCTGCATGATATTAAGTGGCGTTAGTTGAACATTATAAAATAATTATAATTATATTAGATTATAATTATAATTATGTTATAATTATATTATTATATTATATTATAATTATATTATATTATATAATTATATTATATTATTTTAGTATTATATTGTATATTACTCCGTGGTGTATTATCATTTGTTTGTTGTTATATTATATTATATTATATTATATTCGCCGTTTGTTATATAATATCCTTATGTATAATAAAATAGAAATAATATAAACAAGTTAATTATATTATTTTGATAAAAATATTAAAATAATATAATTAATTGTTTATATTGTGTTTATGCAGTATAAGCAGCTTCCGCTCTCAGGTGTACAGCCACCTTCCTCCGCATATGTTGCTACAGACAAATAGCTCTGTATCTGCATTTTTAATAAACTTGTATATCCCTTCTTCTTCTGTCTCTTTACTTATTTATTGCTTAGAAAAGGCCTCTCTCTGTCTCCTTTTTAAATGCATGCATGCAGCCCTTTTCGTGGGGCTTCTTCGGGTGTATGTACACCTCAAACTGAGACACGCTCAAGGCCTAAATTTTATTCCTGCATCCTTCTCCTCTGTAGCTAGCTAGCTAGCTAGCTGCAGCTAGCTATCTATCTAGCTAGCAGCGGCGCAGCTGCGTTGCTGCGCTTGCGTGTACGTGGGGTAGCCCCTAGTCAGGCAGAGACCCAAACCCTAAACCCTTTTTTAGGGTTTAGAGTTTAGAGGTTACTTTAATACCAAAACCAACTTTAGGGTTTAGGGTTTACAAATTACTTGAAGCCAAACACCTTTTTAGGGTTTAGGTTTTAGAGGTTTAGAGGTTCCTTGATGCTAAACCCTTTTTTAGGGTTTAGGGTTTAGAGGCTTCGCTATACAACAAATAAAAATGCCGCTTGTTTGCCCCTCCTCAGCAGGGAACCTGCAGCTGCTGGCTCTGGGCAGCCCTATACTGCAGCTGCTGCTGCTGCTGCTGCTGTTGCTGCTGCTCCAGCAGCTGGGGTGTCTAGGCAGGTCGTGCATGCTTTCTAATGCTGAGGGCCTCGCCGGCCAGACAGCATGGTTTTCTAGGAACTCAAACGCATCAACGAACCCTCGACAGGGGCCCCCTATAACGGGGCATACAGGCTGGGGGCCCCCCTTACTGGGGGCCCCCACCTCATTGAAACCGCCCCCTTTGGGGGCCCCTCCTTCCTTGGGGGCCCCCCTATTGGGGGCCCCTGTAGCCTCCCCTTTCCCTGTACCCTTCGCCAATGTTGCTGCTGCGCAAGGGGGCCCTAAGGGCCCCTTACTGATATCATCTGTCAAGGTTAAGGGGGGCCCCCAACTAGGTTCCCCTGGGGGCCCCCCACTATGGGCCTCTGGGGCCCCCTTACTATGGGCCCCTGGGGCCCCCTTACTATGGGCCTCTTGGGGGCCCCAACAAGGGGCCCCTGGGGGCCCACTACTAGGGGCCCCTGGGGGCCCACTACTAGGGGCCCCTGGGGGCCCCCTGCTAGGGGCCCCTGGGGGCCCCGCTATCTGAGCCACTCCATTTGGTAATTCGTTTGAACCCCTTTGTATAACCCCATTGGGGGCCCCTGCTGCTGCGTTTGTGTTTGTATAAAGGAGACCCCTGCAAGGGAGAGGGTAGAGCAGGGCCCCCTGCTGCTGCTGCAGCAGCTGCAGCACAATGCCTTCGTTCTGCTGCGGGTCGTTGCTGCAGCTGCTGTACACCAAAAGACCCCCAGGAGCAACTAACTCGTATGCACGCTGCAGCAGCTGCTGCTGCAGCTGCTGCAGCTGCTGCAGCTCCTCAGCTGCATGCGCTGCAGTCTCTTCAGAGGATACTCCAACCGACGCTTCCTGCTGCTGCTGCTGATGCTGCTGCTGTTGCTGCTGCTGTCGTTCCTGCAGAAGTTCCTGCTGCAGCTGTTGCTGCTGCTGCTGTTGCTGCTGCTCCTGCTGCTGCTGCTGCTGCTGCTGGATGGCTTGTCGGAAGCGCCCGAGGTGTCTTGTGCTTGCATCGTGCGTACACTGTACATCTAGCAGCACTCGATCATATTCTGCAGCTGCTGCGGCTGATCTGCTGCTGCTGCTGCTGTTGCTGTTGCTGCTGCTGCTGCTGGTGTTGCTGCTGTTGCTGCTGGTGCTGCTGCTGGTGCCGTTGCTGATGATATGGTTGCCCATGATGGTGCTGTCGCTGCTGCTGCTGTTGTTGCTGTTGCTGGGGCTGTTGCTGGTGTTGCTGTTGCTGCTGCTGCTGTTGCTGCTGCTGCTGCTGCTGCTGCTGTTGAAATGCTCTAAGAAAGAGATGAGGGGGACTTCATGAGCCTCTTGTCGCCTCCTCTCTTTCTTTCTTGACAGCCTCCCTTTCTTCATTCGTTTATTTGCTTGTGCAGTTGCTGCTGCTGCAGTTGCTGCTGCAGTTGCTGCTGCAGTTGCTGCTGCAGTTGCTGCTGCAGTTGCTGCTGCCCCTGCAGAGGCTGTATCGGCAGACTGCGAACCTTTGCTGCTGCCGTCATTGTTCTGGCCACTGCAACTGCTGCTGCTGCTGCTGCTGCCGCTGCCGCTGCTGCTGCTGCTGCTGCTGCTGCAGAGGCAGCAAGTGCTGCTGCCGAAGTTGCGAGCATCACAGAGGACAAGGAGGCCGCTGCTGCACGCATTTTTTCTAAGAAGACGCCTGCACACTTCCATTCGCTTTGCACTTATATCAACACCAACCACTGCCCCTTCTGCTGCTGCTGCTGCTGCTGCTGCTGCTGCTGTTGCTGCTGCTGGTGTTGCTGTTGTTGCTGCTGCTGCTGCTGCTGCTGCGGAGTCTGGAGAAACAGCAGCAGCAAGCAGCAGCAACTTGTTGCCGGGGGCGCAGCACAAGTCGAGACATTTGTTTCCAGGCTTCGGCCGCAGCGCAGCAGCAGCAGCAGCAGAAGCAGCATCAAATGGATGTAGCAGCTGCTGCCTATACACCTGAGACCCAGGGAAGCGAGAATCAGCAGGTAAAGAAAAAACAGCAGGAAAATAACAAGGAGACTCCACCCAGCAGCTGCAGCAATAACTGCTGCTGCTGCTGCTGCTGTTGCTGCTGCTGCTGCTGCTGCTGGTCAGGTGTTGCGCTGCAGCTCCTAGTAAGCTGCTCGGCAGCCACTGCTGCAGCAGAGGAGGCTGCTGCAGCTGCATGTCTTTCTGTAGCAGCAGCAGCACCCGCTGCAAGTATTCCCCGTATATCTTCGCATACGCCGCAGCAGCCGCTACCCCAGAGCAATCAGCAGCAGCAGCAGCAGCAGCAGCAGCAGCAGCAGCAGCAGGATCCTTCAGGTGCAGCGGACAGGCTGCCTGAGAGAAGCGAGAGCGGAAGCTGCTGGGGCGAAGACTCTCAATATACCTCAACATGCATGCAGCACATTGTTCTTCGCTGCTGCTGCTGCTGCTGCTGCTGCTGCTGCAAGTGCAGGTGATAACAGCCTGCTGCTGCGCCAGAGAAGCCAAGCCCCTTCGATTGAAGGCAGGGGGAGGGTAGAAGCAGCAAAAGTAACGAGGCAGCTTCTCCTGCTGCTGCAGCTGCTGCTGCAGCAGCTGCTGCAGCTCACTGCTGCCGCATTGCTGCGCTAGCAGACCCGCAAGCGGAGCTGGGATGCTGCTGCATTGCCTCTGCCCTTTGCTGCTGCAGCTGTTGCTGTTGCTGCCGTTGCTGCTGCACCTCGCATCTTCATGGCCTTCCATCCTAACTTCGCCTCCTGCTGCTGCTGCAGCAGCTTCTGCTGCTAGCCCTGTTCCACCACGTGTTGCTGTTGCTGCTGCTGCTGCTGCTACTGTCGTTGCTGCTGCTGCTACTGTCGTTGCTGCTGCTGCTGCTGCCGCTGCTGCAGGGTTCAGCTGCTGCTGCGGCTGTTCCGTCGAGCTCTAGACTCAACACCACCAGAGAGGCAGTCGTCACTGCAGCAGCTGCAGCAGCTGGAGCCGCAGCAGCAGCAGCAGCCGCAGCAGTGGCAGCAGCAGCAGCCA